TGTGCTGTCAACTTATACAGTGTGAAATTATGCTGTGTTCGAATGTTACAGGGCCGTAAACCACCATAGACATTAAGGGGGACAAGTCTCCCCCCAATAATTATAAATGGCCAAACTGTCTCCCCCAGTATTTGAAATTATTGCACTGTTCTGCTGTACTTCATTACACAAAAAGGTATTTTTTAACTTTAAAAGTTACATTTTTGGGGCTGGTTTGCCTCAGCTGTCTAACAGCTTGTCAGTGTCAAAATGATTGAGATGGCCAAACAAGTCAAAGTAGGCAGGGTTTACTGTTCCCAGAACTTGAATTCCAGTGCGAAACTTGAACGTTGAAAGAGAGCGTGGTAAGATGAAAGTAGCAAAACATGTAATATTTGACAACTGTTTTACAATAGAAATGTTAAACAACCTACAGTAATATCCAGTGATGCAAACTACTCAACTTTTTTCTCAAATTTCGACATTTTTAATGAAAAATATGGTATAATTTACGTGATTCATGTAATTCCTAACAGAATGTGATGAGGCACGAAATGTCTGAAGGCGTGCAAATTTTAAAATATAATTTGCTAATAATTCAAAATTATTACTTCCCAACTAGAATGAGACCTAGAATTTCCTTCACCATTTTATTTTTATTTATTTATTTTAATAAAAAAGCCTATGTTTTAGGGGAAAATGTCAAATGGTGTGTTCATTCACCGTTTAATTATCACCTTTATAGGGTTAGCTATTTCAAGTGTGAAAAGCCCTTATATATTGTTTATTGGTTCCTTACAGGACGCACTCTTTCCAACTCCTCTGTTTCCTTGCTCCCTCAATACCGCACACATGTCTCCAGGATGTTACAGTTTCCAGGGCAACGGTTGGTAGGTGAGGAGGACAGTGAGGGACCGGGTTTCAGCAGCATAGGGAAAACGAGAGCATGCGCTCAGACTACTTGGTGTGTTTAAAAATCTCATTTGAAATTTATAGCAGCATGCATTATTAAAAGACACTGGAGGAGTGGAGACAAGAGAAAGTGTGAGCGAGTCATGTTAATGGGAGCTGCAGAGACAGACTGGTTTAAAATTAAGGCTTTAAAATGGAGACAGTGAAAATCAGTAGCCCCTCACTGTTGCTCTCCACCGACTGCGCTGATCAAAAGCATGATGGGAAACGGCTGACTGACGACACAGCTTAATGCTCATTGGTTCAGACCCCTGTGATGCTGCGGTTCTCTTCTAAAATGTTTTTTTTAAATATCTGATTTCATGTGATTATGTATTGAGATGTCCTTCAAGATGGCTGAGCTCGATCAGTTTCCGGGTCATAGGATGGAGGAACAAGGAAACGAGGAGGGATATTGAGAAGCACCCTAAATCTGGAGCGGTATTTGAGGCTTAGTGTATCCCATCATGCATCATGTTCTGGAAATAAATCGTGAGACTTTTTGCCGAGATCTCGCGAGAGGTCACGGAAACCTTTCCAATGCAAGTTAAATATTAATATAATAATTAGATATTACATATAATTTGGTAGAAAAACAGTGTTTTTACATTTTATTGGTGCAAAGATGAGTAGTGGTGATATTTATTTTGTACAACATTTGCAACTGCTTTTTATCACTTAATTAGAAGCACCACAAATTAAAATGAATCATGTTATAGGGACTACTGAACAGACATTTAGAAGTTGCAAGGTATTTAAAATTAAAAATAAAATAAAGCTATGTAAGCACTTGCATTTTTACAACACTATAAGTGTGTCCCATCAGGTAATGAAAAGTTCTACACACACTTGTGGTCTTCATACTCACTTGAACACTTGGGCCAAATACAGGAAATACGTCATATAAGTAGTCAAGTGGTCAAGTGCAAAGACCGCAAGTGTGGGTATTTGGACAAGGCAACTGTTTTTCAAATACTATATAGTAGGGAAGTATGCGATTTCGGACACAGCATTGGACACTTCATACACTCAACTGTCGCAGCTTTAATTACGTAGCGGAGGGGGTGGGGCTAACAGACTCTGATTATGAATGACAAAATAACCTTATATAATTCATGGTTGAGTACATAGTACATAAGTACATAGTGTAAAAGTGCATAGTGTATAGTGCGTCATTTGGGATGCAGCTACCGATTATCGATTGGCTCTTTTACTCAGAAGGCAAAGCTTCCTTCGATAGAGCAGCCATATTGAGCGTTGCATTTATGCCCATTCAAAACTGTACGAGTGACACGTCTTGGGTATTCTATAGTCTTTGATAAGTATCATAAGGCGGTTCAAGGGAGATAAAGACAAATAACACAAAATCATCCTACACACATTGGGAAAGTTGGATGGATGAAGTAGCAGCAATAGGGTAACTTTATTTAATTTGTTGCCTGTTTGTATACGTAGGTCTTATTCACATATTACATGCAGGCTTGTACAACAGGTGTTTTTATTATTCTGTTCACATCTTGTCTAATATGTTTTATATTGCCTGAAATATACAATTTAAATGTTTGGGGTCATTAAGATTTGTTTTGGGGAAAAAACAATACTTTTATTCAGCAAGGATACAGTAAATTGATCAAAAGTGATATTAAAGACATTTATAATGGTACAAAATATTTATATTTCAAAAATATTAAACAGCACAACTGTTTTCAAAATTACTAATAATCAGAAATGTTTTTTTGAGCACTAAATCAGCATATTAGAATGATTTCTGAAGGATCATGGGACACTGAAGACTGGAGTAATGATGCTGAAAATTACATTTACACAGTTTCTAAATACAGTTCCTAACTTCCAAATATGTCCTTATACATACTCTGAACAGATTTGAGAGAAACTGGAAGAAAGGTTAAAGTGGTCATGTGATGTTGCTAAAGGCGCAAAGTTGTGGTATTTTCTCAGCAACCAGCACGGATCAGTTCCAGGCATGACGAAGCAGATATCATCCTCTTTTGGAAGACTAAACAAAGTAGTTTCACTTTCACAATGAAACACACAGCGTCTCCACGACATGGCGGCATGCACAAAACAATACTACAGTAAGAATAAAAGTTACGCCTTCTTTCTTTGCGTGAACATTTGGGCGGTGTTATGCAAATCTTCCCACACAGTGACGTAGACATGTGGGGGCGTGTTAGAACGAGCCGTTTTAGGTAGGCGTGGCTGACTCTTAACTTTTATAAAGAATATCTCTTTGGATTTGAGACTTTAGTCTTTGCAACTTTACAGATCTTATCTATGCACGAACAGCTTGTAACACTCCAAAGAGAAAGGAAAATTTGAAATTGCATCATATGACCCTTTTAAATGTCACTAAGTAAACAGAACAAAAGTAGCGGAGACGACGAGTGCACACTTAACCTTGTGGGATTTAATTACACAGTGTAATCAAATAACATGATTGCTAAATCTGATCTAAGCGGGAGAGGTTGTATCTCTGTCTGCTTGGCAAGCTCTAGGAGGCTCTTGTTTGACTGTGATGGTAATAGCAGTTGAGAACTCAATGGTGGGAGTAATACACAGACACCAAAGCTCACATTAAACCTTCTGATGCATGTTCATTATTGGACAGGTCTCTTTGAGTTTGACTGATGTATTATTTAACATAAAATTGATCTCAGATGATGCACCAGACTGTTTTGCCAAGGTCAGAAGTGTAACTGTAAAATTAAATTGAATGAAAATTTGATTTTTTTAAACCTGTGATTTAATCTTCGTTATTTGCCACTTCTGTCTTTGTTAAACTGTTTCTGTTACTGAATGTGATGGACCTCTGGAATTAATACAAAAAGGACAAAGACTTCTGTCTGCCACCATGTGCCAGACTACATGACTCTTTCACTGGCTGACAGCGTTAGACATGTTTTAGATAAGGGCAACTGTGCTCAGAACTTAATTAAGACCTGAGATGGAAAGATGCAGTACAGTCAACCATCTTATGATTAAAAGCTAAGCCATTTAATAGATGTAAAGCTCAGTTCCTCTGAGACAGATGAACGTTGCCTGTAATGGGACTTGAACTAATGTATTTATCAAAGGTTTAACTTTAAGGAATTTTCCAGGCTCATGAAAGTTTTGAGTGTAAACTGCTCAGACATAATTGAATCCAAATTCTTAATTATGTTTTGCAACCTTGAAAGCCCCAAAACATTAAACCCAAAATTAAATATGCATACTTAGAGCAATTTCATAAACTTGATTAGAATTGCATTGGTTGCTGTTAAACATGATATCAAAAAACAGCGCCTCCCTATGGTTGTCTTCAAAACATTACTTTAGCCAAAATTTGATAGTATATTTACTCTTCTCTTTGAGCAATATGTAAAAGGAATACAAACATTTACATAAATACATCCATTAAAGCTTTATTATTTAATTTTAATGATTGTTGTAAATTCAGTTTTCGACTGAGATTGCGGATAATGCTTGACCGAATTATTAGCTTAATTATTGGCTTAGACGTGAGTGATTTGAGTCTCGAGCGTACAACGTGAAAAGCTACTAAAATAATTTCTCCAAATATCGTTACTTGCTCATAGGTATTGTCTAGTTTTAAACATAAATGAAAACAGCACAAATAAGCGCGAGGGAGTGCAAAAGTACTGTGAAAATGTAGCCTACATAGTTAGATATGGATTCAGAACTAGTATAATGACAAAGCCTATAAAATGAGCATTAAAGATATATTGGCTCAAATCTAACTTTATAGACATAAACTCACCTAGAAATGTCAGTCAACTGTGGAAATTGAACATGGTTAGCTAACCATATCTAGGATGGTTTAATGTTGTTGCTAGGTAACGGTGTATTGATTTACGTGTCTCACGACCTCATGATGTCCAGTCAGCTACTGAACCTACGAATATCTCAAAACAATAAAGTGAATAACTACATTAATAATCTTCACTCAAAGATTTTCAGTAAAAGAAAAAAAAAAGATTAGCCTGGTATTGCAAACATTTTTTATATATTTGATATCTAGGATTCTCATACAGTACAGTAGGTGGCAGTAATCTACATCTAGAGTCTGCAAATAGCCATTAAAACAAGAGGAGAATAAGCAAGTGAAGTGAGTTGCTAGTTAGGAGAGAAAATCCTGATATTTTGAATAAGTGTGAAGCACGTGGAAACCCGCTAGATGCAGATTTTTCACTTTATGAATTAAAAAGAGCAATTAAAAGTAAAAGTAAAAGAAACTTCTCCTGGGCAGGACGAGATATGTTATAGTAGGAACAAGGGTGAACATTGTAAATGGCCAGGAGTCAGTACTAGATCTTACATTGGTATCAGAAAATATGGCAAAGATATGTACATGGAAAGTTTTGAAGGAAACAACAGTAGGGAGTGATCATTATCCAGTAAAAAGCAGAATTGGTGTTAGAATACAAAAGGCAGAACAAGGAAACCTAGAAAGATGGAAATTAAAGAATGCAGGATGGGAAGTATTCAGTTATATTTGTAGTAATAGAATTATTGAAATGGAAGACCAGGAAGATGGAATAGAAGAATATAATGAAAAAATAAGTAATATTATACATAAAACAGCGACAGAGATAATAGGAAAGAAAACAACAGTTAGGAAAAGGAAGTCAGTTCCATGGTGGAATAAAAAGTGTGAAGAAGTTATACAACAAAGGAATAAAGCATTTAAGAAAGTTAAATCATCTTATTTATACTCTGACCTTATAAAGTATAAGAAAGCACAAGCTATAGTAAGGAAAACTATTAAAACAGCTAAAAGAAACTATTGGAGAAATTACTGTAATAATATTGGATGGGATATACAGATTTCAGATATTTGGAGTATGATTAGAAGGATGGGAGGTATTTGCAAGAATTTTAACATGCCAGTATTAAAGAATGGAAATGAAATTGCAGTTTCAAATAAAGAGAAGGCAGAGATGCTAGCTAAAGTATTTGCAAAAGTAAATTGTAGTAGTAATTTGACTGAAGAGGCTAAGGAGTGTAGAGAGAGAGTTAGGAGAGAAAATCCTGATATTTTGAATAAGTGTGAAGCACGTGGAAACCCGCTAGATGCAGATTTTTCACTTTATGAATTAAAAAAAGCAATTGCTAAAGTAAAAGAAACTTCTCCTGGGCAGGACGAGATATGTTATAGTATGATAGGAAAATTATCAGATGTAGCACTTTTTAAATTACTGAAGTTATACAACAAAATATGGGCAGAGGGCAAACTTCCTTCAGCATGGAAACATTCAATAGTTATCCCTGTAGGAAAGCCTGGCAAAGATAGGTCAGAAGCAACAAATTATAGACCAATAGCACTAACATCAAACATGTGCAAAATTATGGAGAGAATGATTACAAATAGGCTTACATATGTAATAGAAAACAGAGGTCTTTTTACTCCTCATCAAAGTGGCTTCCGGAAAGGTAGAACGACAATGGATTCAATATTATGTTTAGAATCAGAAATAAGAAAGGCACAGATAAATAAAGAAGTCGTAATTGCAGTTTTTATTGATGTGGAAAAAGCTTATGACATGTTATGGAAAGAAGGGCTACTTATAAAACTCAAGAATATGGGAATTAGAGGAAGAATTTATAACTGGGTGTTGGATTTTTTATTTGAGAGGAAAATTCAGGTTAGAGTGGGAACATCTTGTTCTACTGTTTATGCAGTTGAAAATGGAACTCCTCAAGGGAGTGTGTGTAGCCCTCTTCTATTCAAAAATGATATAAATGATATATTCAATGATTTACAGCAAGATATGGGTAGATCGTTATATGCGGATGATGGGAAAAGAGGCCATCAGTAGCCAAAACACAAATCATTTGTTTTACAAAAAAGAGAAATATTAATATTAATTTATCATTATATGGACAGCTTCTGGAACAGGTGTCAGTGGTAAAATTTCTTGGAGTGTGGTTGGACTCAAGATTGACTTTTAATACACATGTAGAAAAACTGCTGACTAAGTGCAAAAAGGCGCTGAATGTTATGCGATGTCTAGCAGGTAGTGATTGGGGTGCCAGTAGAAGTTCTCTTAGGAATATATATATGGCTATCATCCGATCAGCAATAGATTATGGTAGTATGATTTATGGGTTGCGAGTAAATCTCTACTAAAAAAAGTAGATGCAGTACAGACATCCTGCATGATCCCTGCACAGAAAGCAGCATTCCTTCAGGAATTCCTGCAGGATATTTTTGTAAGGGTGAAAACAGGAATAGCAGTAGCTATTCCGCATTATGAAATAGTTATTAAGAAAAGAACCCCAGATTTTTTATCTGTATTTACAGCAGAGTTGGTAGCTATTGTTATGGCTCTCCAGTGGGTAGAGGAAAATAGAATTAAAAAAGCAGTAATATGTTCAGATTCATTGGCTGCGTTAAAGAGCATCCAATCAGGCCAGTCTAACTGCAGACAAGATGTCATACTTGAAATACTGCAGTATATATATAGAATGAAAAATCAGGGCATTTTTATTTCATTTATTTGGGTTCCAGCACATGTTGGAGTTGAAGGAAATGAGAAGGCAGATAAGCATGCTAAGAATTCTTTGAACTTGAATCAGATAGGAATTGACATAAAAATTAGTAAGGCAGAAGCAAAAATAATAATTAGGAAAGCTCTTATAAATGCATGGCAGAAACTTTGGGAGAAAGAGAAGACTGGACGACATCTATATAGAATTCAAAGGGAAGTAGGAATACGTAACAACGACATGGGATTAAGAAGACGAGAAGAATCAGTAATAATAAGAATTAAAATAGGACATACTGCATTGAATGGAAATTTAAATAGAATTAAGAAACATCCGAATGGATTATGCATGCATTGTGGGATTTGTGAAACTGTAGAGCATGTACTGTTGCATTGTAGAGCATATAACAACGAACGACAAATGCTAGAAGCTAAAGTAATAGAAGAAGGTGGAAGCATGATGCTAGAAGATATATTAAGTAAGCTAAAAAGGAATAAGAATATTAGATTTGCTTTGTTGAAATATCTTAAAGGTACAGGAAATTATATAAGAATATAATTATGTTTATTTATTTGTTTATTTATGACTATTATTATTATTATTTAGTATGATATACATACATATATGATACATATACATGCATCGATGCTCCACACTCCAGTTCAGATGGTGGCGGTAATGCACTAATAAGCTAGTCTGCCAACCGCCAATAAACAGAAGAAGAAGAAGAAGAAGTAGTGAGTTGCTTTTATTCGCGTTCCATCGGATTTGTTTTTGTTTTATACTTGGGTAAAATGTCAAGACTAGATAAGTTACATTCCAACCTGATGAAGCGAATGTCAATTGTCATTCGTGATATTTGGGTGGAGGTGGAAGCAACGGTGAAGGACTATCAAAAGGAAGCAGCCCAAACACGATCAGAAAACGCGAGACTGAAACAACAGCTCAAGGATGTGCTGAGCAGGAATCAGGCACATTTAAACGGTAAATCCACACTTAAACACACACAAAGACTGTTTTGTGTATTTGGGTCAGTTGAAGGTTGGTTGCATTTTCTGCAAACTCCAATTTAATAATAGAACTGAATGTCACAGAAGCGTAGATGGCATTTTCCCACTAAGTTTCTGTCTCACATGACTGGTCTTGTCCTTTTCCGTCGTATCCAGCAATTACAATCATACAATGTAATAATTTTAACAAAGCTTGTCGAATGGATATTCAAGTCATTGTTAAAAGATAATAACACTTTTCATTAACAAAGAGAGAGAAAGATGGAGAAGAGAGGACAGTGGCTACAGCTGCAGGGCCACAAGAGAAGCAAAGATAGGAAAGGTGGCTTTATTAATGCAAATAAAAATTTAGGACTTTTGCAGTCCTTTAGAACCTTATATTTAGGACTAAAGTAATCCGTAATAAAGATTTTGTATTTTTAGTTTTTTTTTAATCATTCTTTTATTCAGGAAGGTTGCATTAACTGAACAAAAATGACAGTAAAGACATTTATAATGTTACAAAAGATTTCTATTTCAAATAAATGCTGTTCTTTTCAACTTATTTCATCCAAAGAATCTTGGAAAAAAAAAAAAATTCAGCATGGTTTCTACAAAAATATTAAGCAACCCTACCATACTTGAGCACCAAATCAGTGTATTAGAATGATTTCTGAAAGATCATGTGACACTGAAGACTGGAGTCATCACAGGAATAAATTACATTTTAAAATATAGAACACTTATTTTAAATAGTAATAATGCTTCACAACATTACTGTTTTTACTGTATTTTGATCAAATAACGGTAATAATAATTATAATAAATAAATAAAGGCCTTAGTGAATGTAAGAGACAGATTTGAAAAACATTTTTAAAAAACTTACAGATCCCAAACTTTAGGCCACACCTCTTTTCTTCACTTTGACTTCCACACTGTCTGACCTAATCAAGGGAATTTTTATCTATAATAACCAAATGCAGTTTGAGTCTACTAAACTCGATTCCGTTCGATTTCATATCATAGTAATAATTTTAGTGAAATTAATGGATAAGTGTTCATAGAAACTGGGAACAATTGAGCATTATTTTTTTCATGCAAATAATGAAAATATGATGCAGAAGTGATTGTGATCTTGATGAAAGGAACAATGCGTTGACTAAATGGCTGCTGTGAGTAATGCATGTAATGTGAAATGTAATGTCTCAATAGTGCAGAATCGATGCGTTTTTGTAAGAAAAATATCCATATTCAAAACGTAATAATCACTTTAATGTGTTGTACACGGAAGCAGTTCCGGGCGGATGACATATGAGGTCGGCGCTGCACATGCGTTGGTGAGTCTCGTGAAAACCAACGTTTGTTAACAGGGTCAAAGGAAGCAACGTTTACTTACTTTAGCAAAGGAAAACCAGTCTCCTCTTGGCTTATATCGAAATCCTCCGACATTCTTCTTTACAAATCCTTGTTTTGTACTTCTAATTAGTGACCGTTGTTTTGTTTCGATCTCTCCGCGTGCGTCACTTCTGAGCAGCGCATGCGCAAAGCTGACCTCATACGTAATTTCCCCGGAACTGCTTCCGTTTACAACAGTGAGCGCAAGCTAGATTCAAGTGATTATTACGTTTTGAATATGGATATTTTTCTTACAAAAACGGATCGATTCGCTACAGGAGGCCTTTGTTCACCCCCCCGGAGCCGTGTGAGACACTTTTTTTTTAATGGATGGGCACTTTTTATTTAACTTCTTTTGGACTGAAGCAATGCAACACCCGCTGACTGCAATGATAGAGCTTGAAAGATCAAAGACAATTTTTAATATAACTCCGACTGGATTCGTCTGAAAGAAGAAAATCATATACACCTAGGATGCCTCGGGGGTGAGTAAAACACAGCCTAATTTTCATTTTTGGGTGAACTAACCCTTTAACTCTATGACACCAAAAGTCTATGTCAAACAGGTTTCAATGAGTAAACATTCAGCCATTACAAATAATTTGTTGCACGCACTAAAAGGTCACACTGTACATCCTTATGTGGTTAAAACTGTCATAATTGCATTTGTATGCATTCTATGAATAAAATGACCAATACGGCTATTAATAATTGTAAGTAAGTAAGTGAATGCCGTTTTCATGCTTTCACCATACAGGAGTCCACTATGTCCCTCCTGATGAAGTCTCACCCACAGAGTTACCAGCATGTGGATATGGGTCCCCAGCTGAATCAGAAGACCCAGAAGATCAGCAAATGGAGGGCGGTGCCCAGAGTGAAGATTCACCTAGTGAACTGAAGACGGAGGCAGAGGATAGAGAGCTAGTGTATCAAAAAGATGTCTCGACTGCAGGTGAACAACGACTCTTCCCTCAGTTCGACAGCTCGAGTACGGATGAGATGTGGAACAGGAATGTGCCCACTGCGGCAACACCAAGGGTCAAGATTGAGCCCGAGGACACCATCATCACAATAACATCTTCGGTTACTACCACCCCTGCCCATGCCGGTCAATGTCAAGACCAGATGAGAACAGCCAGTGACACTTCAACCATGTCGAGGAGACCACAGCGAAAGGAGCACCATCGCTCACGATACACCAAACCTAGAAGAGCATTTACAAAAGATCACGATCATGTAGGGCCATATAAGTGTAACAAATGTGGAAGACTGTTAAAGGACTTGGCAAAGCTGCAACTGCACAAGAAATTGCATGAAAGATCCTTCATCTGTCACTGGTGTGGCAGAAATTTCTCTAAGTTTGACTACCTTAGGATGCATATGCGCACACACACCGGAGAACGGCCTTACCGCTGCAATTGGTGCTCAAAGACCTTCAGCCAGAGCGGGAACATGAGGAGACATGAGCGCACGTGCCGGAGTTTCAATGAAGAACCAGCGTCGCACGCACTAGAAGATCAACAGCTGCCCGCCGAGTGACCAGTTGTTGCCAGATCGCTGCAGGCACACCTCAAGAAAAAACCTGTTATTGTGATAGAGAGCTGAAACTCGATTGTCATTACATATAATGGGATATTTATTGTTTTATCACGTATATTATAAGCTTCCATGTTACAGAAAATACAGAAGGCCGATATACTGTTTGACCAACATTTCTATGACTTTTTCAGGCAGTATGTGTGGACAAATGTCCCCAGTAAGCCAAAAAACATTATGAGAATGAACGTTTGCCCCTTTGAGGAAGACCACTTTGTGTTCCATACTGAGTAACGTGACTTACCATACTTCCAGATTGATGTTTTAATATAATAAATACTCCACAGAGAGCAGTATCTAGCCAATGAAATATTTTTAGGCAGTGTGTAACTATAAAAAATGTATATTCACTATAGGAAGGAATGACTTTCATTACTTATTTTATTAATTCCAGTATATTTCCAGGACTACACATGACAATTTGAAAATTCCAGGTGTTTGGTGACTGTAGGAATTACAGAGAAAATCTAAAAGCAGTATATTAGGATATGAATCAATGTGGTAGACTGAATGGCAAGATTTACTTAAACTGCAAAATTGAAGAAAATCATGTAAGTTGAGAATATGTATCTTATGACTGTAAAATGAGGAACTTTGTCGTATGTAACAACAAACACCTGAATAAACTAGATTCAATTTAATTTGACATCAGTAAATGTATGTATCAGAGGAAAATGTTTTTGTGGCCATTGTGAAGTTACTGTATGTGTGTGTACGTATGCATACCTAGGGATGCTCAGTTTTGCCTTATATTAAAAATATTTTACAACCTTGTTATTTAATAGATATTGTTTACCCAAAAGCACTGAATCACCAGTAACTACCACTGTGTTAAATGCATTTATATTGATTCTGTTACTAACAGTATGATAATTATGCCATAATTGTCGTGTCATAAACATTCTATAATCTTCTAGCTATTTATCTGTCACCAATAGTGCATTTAGCATTCTTTCTTTGCAAGTGATGTTTTTATATTGTTATTCTATTGGTAGTTTATTCAATTCATCTTTCACACTTTAATGGTCTTGTTTTTCTGTCCCTGTGTAGTAGACCCCAGATTTCTCCCAGGTTTAGTGGGATTCTATCTTTTTAAAACTAATTTATGCAAATGGTCCACTAATGTAAATTTCATGTAAAACAATTAACCATAATCTAGAGTAATTGTTACTAGTGTAAACCTGTATTAAATTAATGTTTTTCAAACAGCGTAAGAAGCTGTCAGAATATATTTTTTAAAATGGCTCTAAATAAATAATACTAAGTTACCACCGTTTTAAATTAGTAAAGATAATTCCAGTTACTACATTATTTTTGGTGGTTATCATGATGGCACATTTTTGTAGGGCCGTCATTAGGAGTGACAACCGGAAACGTTATCTTGGGTCCTGTGATGATGGATCCCCGCAAGACTTTCAATTCTATACCTTACTCATTTTAGCAGGAGCTGTGCATATTTGTAAAGAATATATATTATTAATTGTAAAGGTAATCTGTGGAGTTTTGCACAGCTGCAGCTAACTCAGTTATCTAAACTACTTTAAAACAAAACACTAAAGTTTTTTTGTGATATGTAAAAGAAAAATGCGTAATGCGTAATGTTAAAAAACCTCTCTAGAAGAGTACTGTTGTTGTACCTTATCGCCTCCCAAAAGCGACTTGTTTAAATTAAATTGTTCTCATTACTTAAATACTTGAAAACCCTGTTTATTCTTGTACATAAAAGAACAACTACTTTTCCTACCATTTTGTTTGGACTTCCTTTCGACCAAGTTTGCTCTCCTCCCACCTATAGTTTGCATCATGGCTTTCGCTCTGCAGCTGACTCTTTGATCTGGCGATTTGAATAGAAAGTCATGTGGACATAAGACTGACTGGAATACGAAGTGAGAGTTGGTGGTGAGTTGATTGGGGAGTGGTGTGGCGGGCATCGGCCGACGGCCTGTATAGGTCCGGTATATTGTATGGTGTGGGGACTTCAATGCGCATAATACATTGTGGGGAGGTGAAAAAGTGGATATTAATGGGCAAGTGATAGAAGAGCTATTAGAGGAGAAAAACTTGGTATGTTTAAATGATGGGACTAAAACAAGGATAGAGGTTAATAATGGAAGGGAGTCTGTACTTGATCTTACACTGGTGTCCAATAGTATGGCAGCAATATGTAGTTGGAGTGTGTATAAAGAAGGAACGGTAGGAAGTGATCACTATCCAGTATTGTGTAAAATCAACATAAATGTATCTGAAATTACTGAAGGAAGAGGGGGAAGATGGGTATTTGAGAAGGCTGATTGGGGGAAATTCCAGAGGGAAAGTGACAAATATCTGAATCAGACTGAATATAATTGTGATATAGAAATTCTGGAAAATAAAGTAAGACAGGGTATAATAACAGCAGCATTAGAGTCTATTCCAAAAAGCCAAGGTAATATAAAGAGAAAAGAAGTGCCATGGTGGGATGATGAATGTAAAAAAGCAGTCAGAAGCCGAAATAAAGCATTTAAAGTAATGAAAAGAACGCATAATTTCATGCATATGATTCAGTATAAGTTTGCGCAAGCAGTAGTAAGGAAAACAGTAAGACAAGCAAAAAGAATGTATTGGAGGAACTACTGCAGCTCAATTGGGAACACAACTCAGATAGGAGAAGTGTGGACAATGATTAAAAAGATGGGTGGGGAGAGGAGAGATTGGAATTACCCGGTATTGTGTAATGGAAACGAGATCGCAGTGACAAATAAGGAAAAGGCTGAAATGCTAGTAAATACATTTGTTAATGTGCACAGTTCAAATAATTTATCTGAAGAAGGGAGGAGAGGCAGAGAGGAAACTAGATCTGAAAATTTGGAGGCACTGAGGGTGATGGGAAATGATGAAGGTGAACAAAATGTACCATTTAATATGGGAGAATTAAACAGAGCATTGGCAAAAACTGGGAAGACTGCACCAAGGAAAGATGAAGTATGTTATAGCATGTTGAAGAAGTTAAGTGAGGAGGGGAAGAATAAGTTATTGATGCTATACAATAAAGTGTGGGAAGAAGGAAGAGTGCCAAAGAGCTGGACGGAAGCAGTTATTGTTCCAATAAGAAAACCGGGGAAAGATTCTAGTAAGCCAACGAATTATAGACCCATTGCCCTGACTTCTCATATCTGTAAGCTAATGGAAAGAATGGTAAATGGGAGATTAATATATATTATGGAAAAACAAGGTATGGTGAATGAATGCCAAAGTGGATTTAGGAGAGGAAGGGGTACTATGGATGCAGTATTATGTTTGGAAGATGAAATAAGAAAAGCTCAAATAAATAAAGAGACGGTAGTAGCAGTATTTTTTGATGTTGAAAAAGCATATGACATGCTATGGGGAGAGGGGGTGATGATTAGCATAGAATGGGAATTAGAGGAAGAATTTTTAATTGGGTTAAGGATTCCTTGAAAGGTAGAACAATTCAGGTTAAAATAAACAAGCTGGAGGAAATAAAATGGAATAACATTGCAGGAGAATAATCCAGAAGGTGGCGGTAATGCAACGCTCTTGGATGCAAGCCGCCGTTAAACCTCGAAGAAGAAGCTCTGCAGCTGAACGGTAGTACTTCTCCTGTGCGGTAGGTGGCAGTCAGATGTTACCAGCTGCTTTCCAAATTTGGAGGAGAAAGGCAAACTGTTCATGCAACGGGGATAGCTATCTCTTTCAGAGGTTTGTCTTTGCTGCTGAATTGCAGAGACAAAAAACATACAAAATGACCAAACTGCAGCTGCTGCATCGCGCGCTGAACGAGCGTCTGATGGCGGCGGTGGAGCAGATCATGGAGATGGTCGGCGATACGGTGCTGGAGTATGAAGAAGAGACGATCCGGGCACGGAAAGAAAACGAGGTTCTGAGACGGAGGCTACGGTGGATGGAGGGGGCAAATCGAGCGGACTGGCCAGGTAGCACATCAGATCGAGTTTAATGTAGTTTTTAATGGAAAATACTGTGCAGGACAGATAGCACGACTTGATAATAGACTTGAAGTGAGTTTTTTTTTAAACATTTATTTGGTTGTTGCATAGTTTTGTGTTCTATATCCTATGCACGGTCGTGGACCTTGTTTTGGTGAGATCATCCGCGTGCATTCAGACTTTGCTCTTCCTTATAACGGAAGTTATAAATGTTTGTTATAAGAACTATACTTGCAACTGCAATAGGCTGAAGTAAACATTGATCTGTCAATTGTCCACTTGATGTTTTCGCTCCAAAACATGCCCCCTCTAGAGTCCACAGGAAGAAACATTTACAGTCGCATAAGCGCACTATACGAGACAGAAGGCCATTAACTTCCATTTCCTTTTGGTTTAAATCAGCACATGTTACTTACTGCCAGGGCCCTGCACAAACATTTTGAGGGGCAGGTGCCGAAATCACTGGGGGTGGGGCAGTTATTGCTCAGTCGTATATGTATGTATATTCAATCATATTTTTGTCTTTAACATTTTGTATTTTAATGGGATGTTTCTGTACTAAATATTTATTCTAAATTATTCACCGCGAATATGAACGTGGTTTTGCGCAGCTCCTCAGTGAACAACGGCTCTGTGTAGTTAATGCTGCTCAATGTGAAAGCCCGCACGTGATGGAGATTTACCGCTGATTACAGAACCGGCTTTACTGACAAGATGAGCGTTAAATATCGCATGCGATTTATCGTGCAGCCCTACTATGGAGTAACCCCTACATTTCTGTATAGCCCTATAAACAGGGCCGTGTATTCCCTAGTTGCTGGGAACATTGTTTTCAAACATAATTACTTACTTGCATTAGATTATGTATTTGGATATATACAGTATTTAGAGGATATATACAGTATTTAGACTATTAAAGACTACTTTTTGTAAAAGTTGACATTTAAAGGTTGATTTGAAGTGTCAGTTTTTGCATCATTATTGCGGTCAAATCTGGACACAGGGAATGCATTTTGTTACTCATACTAGCTAGGCTACATATAATTACTTGATCAGTCACATGAAAGTAATCAGAATAAATATTGACTCAGTGCGACCAGGTTAATATTCCTAAACTCCACATCGCTGTCAGCGATTGACAGATTCAGATTCCAGTAGATTTATTGGCTTTACATTGCCAAAGCACTCTGATCCAGTGCTGTTTAGCATTATCAAATTTACAGGCGGCAATGGGCAGTGATTGACAATGGCAATTAGGCATTGTCAGATTGACATTACTCTAGCCCAGTGGTGCTGGGAGGGCACCAGGGGGGCCAATCACGTTCAGTGGGGTTTGAGAGGGGCACCTCAGCCAGTGAGGGCAGAGGGGCAGTGGCTCTAGCCACCGGGCCACCCCCCTGTGCACGGCCCTGCCTACAGCTACTTGGATTCATAGGTTGGAAACAGAAATCACACAAAACACACTTTATCAAATTGTCACACTTTGGTTTCTTGAAATTCTCAGGCCCATCAGAACCTGTTACGCTTTCCACAATGGACGAGGCCAATCCATCCCGGCAAGATGAGTGTGCTGTCAACTATGGATTTGGACAGGAATTAGAAGCTCTTGAAATCAAAACAGAGACGACTGATCTCCCACTGTGCATTAGACCTGAAAGCAGCGTCACCACATTACCTCAAAGCATTGATCAGGGATCTGACAATGCCGGGACAGGTGCTGGTATTGCCTATGGCCTGACAGACAGTATGACCTGGGACTCTGCCCAAAGTTACATGGCCCCTCTGGACTTCGATCCAACTTCAGGTCCCACCAGGGTCCGGCGCTGGAGAGGACGGAACAGAAGGCAGAGGATGTCCTTTGCCTGTCCAGACTGTGGTAAAGTCTTTGGAAGGGAACAGAGGCTGATCATTCATATGCGGATTCATTCCACCGAGAGGCCTTATGCATACCGCCGGCGCAAGGCGTGCTTCTATGGTGATAATAAGAAAAAGAGGAAACTGCACAGGCTCTCTCAGGTAAACATCAGCACGGTTATTAAAGTCAATAAGACATTAAAATTGACCCATTTTTACTTTTTAATACACATCTTATTGTGGTGAATGTTATTCAGAAGCATTCTGGTATTAAAAATCAAACCCCACACTTAATTTTTTCACATTTATTATACTGATTCAATTTGAAATTTGTTGTTTTAAGTATTAAAATGATAGATTAAACTAATAATGAACTTTTATAAATGTAAAATGAGAATGTTTTTAACAAATAATATTATAAATGCTTGTGTTATTCTCTCACATGCAGCTATCAAGAGAAATTGTGGATGATCTGTCAGATGGCTCTGAGCAGACGAACAGGAGTAGTGCATCATCTGAACAACTAGAAACTACTGCACCAGGCCAAGAAGAAGAGCCTGAGAGTGACCACACCAGCAGTGATAAAGAACCAGAAAAGAGAATTACCACCCCTGTGCGGAATCGGCGCAACAAAAAAAGAGTTGTAAACCAGATTGTGACAGAACCAACACCGTGTCAGTGCCCTCATTGCCCTCATCGGATGTTCGCTCGGCCCTGTCAGTTAGCCATGCACATGAAGACCCACACGGTCACAGCTCTTACCAACCTACCCACCCAAGCACAGTCAGGAACTCGGGAGATAGTGGATGTGAAGAGGAAGTTACCCAAGGTACTGCACATTCTCTAGTGTCATAAGTAGTGTGTGTAGATATGCATACATCGAGATTTTCTTTCCTTCACACATAATCCCTCTTAAGGATGTAAACAGATAGTAGGGGGAGCAGATGAAACAGTCATTGAAAAAGCTATATAAATAAACCACTATTCTGAATATTTGGTGTGATATGCTTCAACACATAATGTTATTTGATGCAATAAGAGTCAAAGTAAAACTCACAAGCAAAAAAAAGATATTGCAAGATGCACATTTTGAAGTAGTGGTTGACCATTATGGGTTTTTCAACTGCTGATGCTGATATCTAGAAAGTAGGGTGGCTGATATTCAATTATAGCGACTGTACATAAACTTTCTGAAATTAAATGAAAACACATTTACTCAAAATACACTAAAACAAATAAAAGAAAATAGATAAACACTGTATGGCTATTGGCTGATGGTTGTAATCTCAAAATACGCAAATACTGGCCGATTCATTGGTCTTGCCACCAAAGTGCATGAATAATGACCTCTCCATAGTAGTTCAGTGAATCCTAAGATAGTAAGCATGTATCTTAGGATGAACTAAACACACTCATACAGCTACAGCCAATCTACGAAGAGAACAAGAAAGCAACTACTGAAGCGGATGCTGTTTCAACGGTGAGTCTGAGGCCAGAAATGACAGTTATGAAAACAAGAGTTGATATGTGGCTTGGAACACATACTGTTCAATCAAACAAACTTCTGCATCTACTATGTCGCCTGAGATGTTATTTGTTGTGGGGTTGCACCACCAGTAAAAAAAAAAAAAATAGGTGACTGAAGCATTTGAGCATAATAAAACTCTGGAAATATCAGCTATAGCTAGGTAATCTGTGATCATTTTTTGTCAGATAATGTGTTTTATGTAACTAGCTAGTTGAGTAGATCAAACGTTTACGTAAAGCTGAATTGAAGAACAAAGATAATGTACTATAATCATAACATTTTATCAACTGCTACTACTTAATTGCTAGTAGTCTACGGCTGAGGGATTTTCTTTTTCTTTATTATTATTTAACTGAAAAGGAATTGTCAGTACAGGCTATCCTGTGTTTGCAGTCTATAGAAATTACCAGGTAGATTTGTAGATTGAGCAGTAGATTTGACAAATGGAACATATATGGCAGTTTATTTAGCTGGTGTTTGTTTTTAATGGACCAATCCATGCGATTTTAAATGAGGGTTTTTCAACCTTTATGGACCCAGAGATCCCCAGCCAACCCAAGTACCTCTAGTATAAAAAAGCTAGATTTTTATGATAACATGTTACAGTAACTTATTTTTTTTATATCATGTAACATTATTACATTATGCAATTCTTAAAAGGTCATTTGTTAGACAATAGTTGTTTAAATGTTTTCTGGGACCCATGGTTGAAAACCCTGCATTTAAATAATTACAAGACCAGTATCACCAGTGAGGAGAAGAAAATGTTGGATTGTTTGACTGTTACGTTCTTGTTGTTCGCATTAAGTCAGCTATCATTAACTGTTTGATTAGTTGAAGTTCATTTTGTAGGTCTGCTTTCACCACTGCATTTAAGTCAAAGCCATACCTACAATTATCTGAATGCATTCAGTGTTTTATAGTGTTTTATAGTATCTTTAATGCAAATAAGTATCACTAAAGAAAAAAACACAAAGCTTATGCATATGTTTTTCTTCTTGCTTCACAGGTGGCATTTGTTTCAAACCGCTGTTTTAGCAAAGTTTGGGACTACTTTTCAAAAGATGCATATGGTGACGTCTTTTGCCATGCATGTTCAGCCAGAGTTAGCCAGGGGTCCAGCAAGGCTTCTCAGAAGAACACCTCTAATTTATGGTCTCATCTTAGAATAAACCATCGACATGCCTATTTAGAGGCAAAAAGGTACAGCCGACCAGTCAATATGCTGATCAACACTTTGGACACAACTCCGCTTAAATTAGAGCATTTTGAGCCAGAAGAAAGCATTGTAGAGGGAGAAGGTGAAATAAAGAAGGTTATGATACCAGAAGAACCATCCAATGGAACTTCGTAAATATGTAAACAATTTGGACACAATGTTTATATCTGTATATACAAATGAGAAAATCACAACCTTTTGGATTTTTTTTTATGGAAAACATTTGTGTATATATATAATGCAATTATAATGCAGTTGTTTTAATAAAATTAGTTTGAAATGAATTCATGAATTTTAGTCTTTTCTGCGGGTGGTTTACTTCAATATAGTAATATATTTAAAATGTTTGTAATGCCATGACATCTTGGGAAATGTACTGTAGATTTGAAATGCCACTCATTGTCCTACAGTAAACCAGTGCAATGAATTTTTCAACTTTCAAGTTCACTGTTAGAGTAAGTATTTAAATATGCTGTTTACCTGGAATGACTTCTGTTAAAAAATACAGACATTATTCATTCACTTTCATATCCAGGGTGTAATACATTTGGAGCTCATTGCATATGTCTTTCCATGCTTTTCTCATTGTCAAATGGACTTGCATTTCTTTCAGAGGCAAAGAAAAAATGATGTGGAGAAGGAGGCCAAAGTTGCTGACAAACGTGAGCTCCATTGTCCAGACTGTGACAAAGTCTTCTTTTATGCAAGTCGGTTGCGTGTCCACATGAAGTCCCATAAGTCCAAAAGGGCTTTATTACGCAAAACTCGGCCAATCAAGACTGAGGTACCTGCTCACACAATGCATAAATGTGATCTGGATGTATGATTATTTCCATTAATGTGCTTCTTATTACGTTTGGATATTTGTGTTCCTCATAGCTGACTAAAGAAGAAACAATGGTGGCAGTGCCTAAAACTACAGAAGTACAGAATTTGAAGGAGCTAAAGAAAACATATGCCTGCCCGCATTGTGATAAAGTGTTTACTCGTGAAGGATGGCTGGGGCCGCACATTCGCACTCAACACCAGGAAGTAAAGAACACGAGTGATTACTTTAACGTGTTTGGCAGTGGCCGTACAAGATCACAACAGCCTTTCACCAAGGTTAGTTTTCAGATTTGTAATTGAATATGCAGATGTTAATGTATACTTGCTGAGACACTGATCATTTTTGAACTTTTATTTATGTATAATAATCCATATTCCTTTTTTATTGATCGATAAGCGATTTCGTAAGTGCACAACTAAGACGCGGGAAGTCTCTAAGAAGCCAAGACTGAAGAACCGGAAAACTAAAGAATTAAGAAATGTCAAGGCTAAACCTCGTCAAACAAGTGATGAGTTCATCCTGGTTGTTGATGTGCCCACAATCACAAATAATGAGGCTGAACAAAGTGCAGATCTTCCTATAATGAGCACAGATGAGGCTGAACAAAGTGAAGATCTTTTGAAAACGGGTACAGATGAGGGACAACAAAGTGCAGATTTTCTTAAAATGGGCACAGACGAGGGACAAAGTGCAGATCTTCTTAAAATGGGCACAGACGAGGGACAACAAAGTGCAGATCTTCTTAAAATGGGCACAGATGAGGGACAACAAAGTGCAGATCTTCTTAAAATGGGCACAGACGAGGGACAACAAAGTGCAGATCTTCTTAAAATGGGCACAGATGAGGGACAAAGTGCAGATCTTCCTAAAACGAGCATAGATGAGGCACAACAAAGTGCAGATCTTCTTAAAATGGGCACAGATGAGGGACAAAGTGCAGATCTTCCTAAAACGAGCATAGATGAGGCACAACAAAGTGCAGATCTTCTTAAAATGGGCACAGATGAGGGACAAAGTGCAGATCTTCCTAAAACGAGCATAGATGAGGCACAACAAAGTGCAGATCTTCTTAAAACGAGCATAGATGAGGCACAACAAAGTGCAGATCTTCTTAAAATGGGCACAGATGAGGGACAACAAAGTGCAGATCTTCCTAAAACGAGCACGGACGAGTCAGAGAGCACTTCTGAGCAATCAAAGGACACCTCAGGCTCTGACCGTGGAACATCAAGCACTAAAAATCTGAAGAGGATGTTTCCATGCAAAACATGTGGCAAAGAGTTTGTTCTGGAGAAGAGGCTAAAGAAGCACTCAAGGAAACATGTCGGACGTAGGTTGCAGGATGAAAAGAAAATGAGAAGAGAGCAAGCTCTAATGGAAACGAAGCTTGAGGAACAAGAAAAAAGGAGATCGGAGGAAAAAGAGAGGCTTGATGATAAGATGTCAACAAGTAATCACGACCCAAATACTGCGGTATGTGTTCTTTACAAAAACCTAAAGATTGATCTGAATATACCTTCACATTTCATAGTTTTAAATCACGAAAACAGATAAGCATGATAAGCTTGATTTGTTTTAATGATAAGATCTTTAAAATCTTTAGAAATCAGTGGAACCAGAATTAAGAAAATTATTATTATCATTAAGAAAATTCAGGAAAAACGTGGTTCCTGTGTCTGCACAATTTGTGGTAATGTCTAAGCCCGTAAGAATTGGCTAAGGATTCACATGCGTGGCCATCATGAACGAACACTTTATACGAGGACAAACCAGTCAGAAACCAATGAGAGGCATAGAAAACAAGGAAATTGCAATACACTTGGAAAACAAAAAACTTGGAATAATAGCAAAAATGACCACATGACGTGGGTTAGTCTACAAAATGGGTGCCGTTTGTTTTGCATGTTGAAGTGTAAAGGAGAGGGACAACAAAGTGCAGATCTTCCTAAAACGAGCATAGATGAGGCACAACAAAGTGCAGATCTTCTTAAAACGAGCATAGATGAGGCACAACAAAGTGCAGATCTTCTTAAAATGGGCACAGATGAGGGACAACAAAGTGCAGATCTTCCTAAAACGAGCACGGACGAGTCAGAGAGCACTTCTGAGCAATCAAAGGACACCTCAGGCTCTGACCGTGGAACATCAAGCACTAAAAATCTGAAGAGGATGTTTCCATGCAAAACATGTGGCAAAGAGTTTGTTCTGGAGAAGAGGCTAAAGAAACACTCAAGGAAACATGTCGGACGTAGGTTGCAGGATGAAAAGAAAATGAGAAGAGAGCAAGCTCTAATGGAAACGAAGCTTGAGGAACAAGAAAAAAGGAGATCGGAGGAAAAAGAGAGGCTTGATGATAAGATGTCAACAAGTAATCACGACCCAAATACTGCGGTATGTGTTCTTTACAAAAACCTAAAGATTGATCTGAATATACCTTCACATTTCATAGTTTTAAATCACGAAAACAGATAAGCATGATAAGCTTGATTTGTTTTAATGATAAGATCTTTAAAATCTTTAGAAATCAGTGGAACCAGAATTAAGAAAATTATTATTATCATTAAGAAAATTCAGGAAAAACGTGGTTCCTGTGTCTGCACAATTTGTGGTAATGTCTAAGCCCGTAAGAATTGGCTAAGGATTCACATGCGTGGCCATCATGAACGAACACTTTATACGAGGACAAACCAGTCAGAAACCAATGAGAGGCATAGAAAACAAGGAAATGGCAATAAACTTGGAAAACAAAAAACTTGGAATAATAGCAAAAATGACCACATGACGTGGGTTAGTCTACAAAATGGGTGCCGTTTGTTTTGCATGTTGAAGTGTAAAGGATAACTTTATAATAACTGATACCAAATTTATTAGATAATAAATACAGTTTTTAAACAAAAATCATATAACTTTATTGCATGTTTGTTTACTTTTGTTCGTTGAAGAATGTGTTTTTGTATATTGATATTGTAAATTCTAATATAGGAACCTGCAAGGCTAGTAATGCCTTTCTGAAAGCACTATTATGTTCCAACTTGTACTATATCAATTTAGCTTGATGATACATTGCAAGTTATTGTATTTAACACCTAAAATCTTAATCTTAAAATCATTTTTGTTAAAGGTCCTCATTTTATAGATTATCTCATGCATAAATATGCATTCAAATAATATTTTCATTCCCCTTCAGCAGACGCCTCAAGCATCCCCCAAAAAGGAGTCATTACAAAAAAGCAGAAACAGAGGTCAAGGGCCACTACCCTGCCCATTTTGTGGCAAAGTTTTTGCTTGGGAAATGCGGCTATTGATGCATATGCAGATTCATTGTGGTGAGAAACCTTACGCCTATCGGCAGCGCAAGAGACATTTTTATGGTGACCTGAAAAGGGGCCAGCTCCCGAAAATCCATAATCAGGAGGTAGGAAAGACTATGTGATTGATTATTTTGACTATTAGTTTCATCCAGTTTCATATCCTCAGGAAAAAAGAATTGTTTGTGCAATTAATCCTAGGTCTTGTTATCCCTAAAGACAGTTGTTTAAGTCATAAGAATGGTTGATTGTCGCTTTCCCCCAATGCAGCCTTCAGGGGACAAAAGTGAGTCTGAAGAGTCTGAGTATGAAGAGACGGTGAATAAGGACAGATCTGCACATCTGAGCAGCAGTGCAACCCATGCAGTGTCTGGAGCTCTAGCAAGCAGTATTGAGACCACTGTACCAGAGTACTATACTGGCAGCCCCGGCCTTTTACCTCAGAGAGCTATTGAGCAGTCTACCACCTCTTACAAGAGTAATCAAAGAACCAAACCCGAACTGGTCAGTGACATCATGAGCCACTTCAATTTGCAGCCCAGGATTGTTCTACAACCAATTATGACTGAATACAAGTATTGGAGCTCAGTGCCTCGGGTAGCTGACTTGAAATCAGGTTGCTCTGAAAAAAGTAGTGGCTTTGATCACAAACAAACCTCATACTCAGTATTGGTTGATGATGAAATGGTGGATGCTGTGGAAGATAAAATTGTGGATTCCAATCTTTGCACATTGCCATTGGACTTCTCTAGTCATGGCATCCAGAACAAGCCTGAAATATGCCTCACTGGTAATCCTGAGACAGAAGTAGTCTTTGTGGAGGTTGGATCTCCACAGCGTGATTCGGAAGTAGAGCTTGACAACATTGGGGGGCCACTGGCCTTTGAATCCTCTGAGGGAAAAAATGCGGAGAGTCAACAAAAAGATGACCGCAACTCTAATTTTCCTGGTGTTTCAGAAAAAACAGCCAGAAACCAGGTATCACTTATAGTAATAGATGACGAAGTAGAGCAGTCAAATGCAAGAACTGCTGCTGAAAATGCTCTGTCTGAATGTGGAAGAACGAAGTGTGATTGGAAGTGTGATTGTAAGAACATTTCTGCTATGAAATTAACAGTCATGCCACAGAGTAGCGTTTTAGAATCTTTGTTCAAGGAAACTAGTTCTGGCACCATTCAGAAGAACATTGACTCAAAATTAGTTTGTGTTGTCCTCTCAGATGTTGAAGACAATGTTGATGAAGATGTGTTGAGTCCCTCCAAAGGTTTAGATAAAAAGAAAACAGCCTCTGTTCCTAGCATTCAAAATGAACAATTAGATGTGGGGAGCAAATCTGGCAAAAGTCCCTCCAGCAACTCCAACTTTCCAGCTCCAGATGCAACTGAACCCACCAAATCTATTGATGGTGCCTCACAACTTGATCAGAGTATCTCAAACGACCCACTCAGAGACCAGATGGTCTTTACTGCCATCAGACAAACAGAGGACAGGCCCATGAGTTCAAAGGAGAGAATATCATGTCAAACATCTGATACGGTATTTGCTGGTCAAGAATCTCTGTCGGAAGTTCATGCTGACAAGAAACTGCTAGACATGGAGATTGTCAATGGCGGGGAGAGAAAAAATAAGAAACTGGGTCTGAACAACCAGGTATGCAATAGTAGCAGATCGAAAAGTACAATACGGACTCAAAAGTAAATCTAATCTTAAAGGGGTCATATGATGCATTTTCAAGTTTTCCTTTCTCTTTGGAGTGTTACAAGCTGTTCGTGCATAGATAAGATCCCTAAAGTTGCAAAGACTAAAGTCTCAAACCCACAGAGATATTCTTTATAAAAGTTAAGACTC